TTCCTTCCTTCCTTCCTTCCTTCCTTCCTTCCTTCCTTCCTTCCTTCCTTCCTTCCTTCCTTCCTTCCTTCTCTTTCCTTTAAACTCTTCTCCTTTTACAGCAACTGCCAATCTATAGAACTATTTATCTATATATAGATCTACCTTTGACAAAAGCATAAGGAAATAAAGAAATAGCAGTGATTTGCCATTCCCTTTTGGGATGATTTTCAACTTCCCAGGCTAGTCTACAGCCTTGGAATTTCCTTGTGGTCTTTCATCCAATAACAATCATCATTGCCAATCCCCTCTTGGAAATACTTTTAAGCGGCTTGCTATAAGGAAACTGCAACTTCTTAAAAGATATTTTCTAAGAAGAAATGGGCAACAATCATAACTATCAAGAAATAATATTTATCAGATGTATAAGACTTCTGAGTGTTTGAAGCAGTTTCCTTTTTCCTTTTTTTGCACAATCAGGAAAAAAGCCCTGTGAATTGGGTTCTCCAGATTGTGCATTTTTCAAACCGAAATCAAGCAGTTTTTGAAGCAAAATTCAATTGCCTGTTGATCCCACGCTACCCCCTCCTGCCCTGTGAGAGAAAATAAAAGCTCATATTGGCTGAGAGAATCAGAAAAGAGGATTTTTGAAAGGGTGCCATCGTTTGGGAAAAAATCTCTGCTAGCTGTGGAACAATTATTATACCCTACACACACACACACACACACACACACACACACCTATCTAGGAAAAAAAAATAGAACCTCCGCTCCATCTTACACAAAAGGATTACATGTACAGTGAGCAAAATTAAGGATTTCCTGCATTGGAAAAGGATAATTGCTGTTTGTCTGGCTTCACTAAATATGCTTAGATTATGTAGCAGAGATTCATCCAGGGTTCAGAGAGGAAACTCTTCTGAGTCATGATGGAATACTTCTATCAACATAGAAATTGTGTTCACACAATATATATATCCTGAATTAACCCATTTTCTGGCTTTGCACAATGCACCAAACTATATACTAGCCAAAGAGGCTGGGTACACAGGACACCCTAAGCTACGGGGGGGGGGGGGGGAAACTAGTGGACTTTAACTTTAATCAGGCTTCACAGATTGGACAAATGTAGTTTTTAGGTTTTTAACAGACGGGGTCCAGTGTGTTCTGCGAACACCATGAAAAAATGATGACCACATCTCAGGAATGTACATACCAAGG